GATGGGGAGAGAGCGTTCGCGCTGCCTAGGATACGACCTCCACCCAGCGTCCTCCGGGACATATTGGCTTAGATTAGTAGAGCATGGGAGGGAAATTCCGCGGAAAGCGGTAAGAAAGGCGATCCGGGCGGGAAGGTAGAAGAAGATAAGAGTATAGGGAATAGTGATACAACCAGCTGTGCATGCAGCGCAGTTTTGGTGTTTCAGTTCTGGATCGAGGCGGAGCTTTGGGATGCGAGTAAAGTAGCACGTAAGGCAAGCTTGATCCTGGCCGATGAGGGGCGCGGATCCCCCTGTGATGCCTGAGGCAGAAACCTCCATGTAATGTAACCTATAGTATATACATAACTACTTCTACCAAGAACTTTAAGGCTTGGCCTAAATTTATCAACAGGACACCATTTGCACAGTAGAACATGAACTCGAACCTTAATAGACCATACTCATCTAATATTTGAACTGTATAGAACACTTTACAGCATGATACTCTCTCATACATGCCAAAGCATAGACCTCTATCCGCTCACAGCAACAGTAATATATCTAAACACCATACCCCCTAAAAAAGATCTAGAGAAGAATAATTAATTTAAACCTTCCTCTGCGCTTCTTGCGCAGACAACTTCTCCAGCTCCTCCTTGGCCTTACGAGCGGTTTCCCGCTTGAGCTGGTCCGGACGGCGCACGGCGATGTCCTTCGGGCGGAAATCACTGAACAGGGTCTTCAGTACATTCTCAATAACCCAGCAACCGGCGTAGTCGAAGATCATCAGGACAGTCAACGTGAGCTTGAACTCCGTACTGAACGGGACGAGGCGCAGCTTTTCGTTGAGCTCGGGAATAAACTCAGTGGCGCAAGAGAAGGCCATAGCCGATGCTCCCACCAAGCCCCAGTACATGGCCTTGTTCTCGCGGATGGACTCTCTGAAAGGACGGCCTTGGTAGTTGATAGAGAAGGTAGAGATCTGTTGGATGAGTTGAAGTAGGTAAATGGCGCTGTTGAGTAGGGATGGCTCGAACTCTCCCTCCAAATCGATGTCGGGTTTTCTCCTGGGAAGTGTCAGCAAGATACCCTAGCATGGTTCAAACGAAGGGACGTACGGTTCAATTGAATAGACATAGTTCGACAAATAGATCAGAGTCACAATGTGGATCGCAAACTGCCCAAGCACCGAGCCAATGATATACACGTTGAAAATGTTAGGCTGAGGGCGTTCTTTGGACAGACCTTCCACGGACTAAACATCAAGTTAGCATCGTATTGGACATGCCGCTTATGTGATGTTTTACCTTTGCGCGTGAAATCGAAAGGAAGCAGACACTCATCACCATGCCGCTGATGGTCACCTGACCGTCACCGAACTTAATTCCATCGAGGTAGATAACGCTCAGACTATAGGCGCTGATCAAGCAATTCAGAGCAAGGATTTTGTACATCTGGATTGTCGCAACGAGCGTACAACGGCCTTGACGAAGGATATTGGGAATGGCGATAACATTGGCCAACTTGCTAGTGAAAGGCGCAGCAACCGATGCGTCTCCCAGTTTGATCGTGGGAGGTTCGTTTTCATCCAATTCCTGTTCCATCATGGAGCTGGTAAGCTTGTCCGCCAATCCAGCCGCCGCGGCAGAAGCTTGCTGCTGGCGCTGCTGCTGAGGAGTCAAGTTAGCATTGGACTGCTGGAGTGCTTGCGCACCAGGCGATGTAATCGTGGGAATGCCGTCCGCTTGATTTTGCGCGTTTGCTACAGCAGCCGATCCTCTCTTCGCCGCTTCCCTTTCCATGGCTTTCTGATAGTGTGGGTTGCTGGGACCAGGAGGATACAGGTGGGCAATTTGCAAAGGCACAGGCGGCGATGGCTGGTTGAAACGCTGCATCATGGCGACCTGCTTCTCGTAGATCTCCTTCATCTTTGTTGTTCGGTAGTGCTCCGCGATCTTCGTAAGATCTTCAGGGGATCCATTTAGAAGCGCAACGCCAACATGTGCTTGCTTCAGAGCTCCAACATCATTAGTGCCGTCACCACACATCAGAGTTGTATAACCAGCATCCTTGAGGCCGAGGAGAATGTCCTCCTTCTGCTTAGGAGAGACGCGAGCATATACCCATGTGTGACGTAGGAGTTCCGAGAAAGCCTTCTGACCCTTGAACTTAGCCAAAGCGTAGCCAGTGATACAGATGTCTTTCGTCTTCAAAATCTCAGAGTCCAAGTTCTGAGTAGGATCCACATCACGGTTGAACTTGTCATCGATACTCCGCCAGACCAACCTTGTTCCAGAGGTGTCGTGTTCCGGAGCGTCGAGAATCAGGACTTCACGATCTACGATCTCAACTTGGCGCGCAACGTGAACAGCGGTCAATGGATTATCGCCAGTAATCATAACAACGCGGTGGCTGCTCTCATTCAACATGCGCACGGCTTTAATGGCATCTTCCTTCAAAGGGCATTGCAAGACAAGGAAACCAGCGAAGACCAGTTCAGATTCTACTTCCTCACGAGTGTAGTTGTTGATGCGTCCCTGGGACAATTCGGCCTCGTGAGAAAGATACTTGTAGGCGAGAGCAAGAACACGAGCACCATTACGAGTGAAGTACTTGAACGTCTCTTCATAGTCGGGGGGTGTGTCCACAAGCATAGATCTGATAGTTTCCGGAGCACCTTTGACGCCAACGAAGGTTGACTTGTTTTTCTTGGATGATTTTCGGTCATTAGTGACAACCGTTGCGATTGTGCTCTGACGCTTCAAAGCCGAGGAGAACTGGAATCGCCTTTTGACCTGAACCGATTCAGGGACACGGGAAGGATCGGCTGCCGATGCAATCTTGGGAGTCAAAGTATCGTTCTTGCCCAAGGTCCAACCGAGCCACTGTAAAGTAGCTTTCTCCATTGGATCACCAACGACTTCTCCTTCATCCAATTTGACGAGAGCGTGGGCGCTCGCAAGGACAAGAGTAGTGTCCACTTCGATGTTGCCGCCCTTGGCAAGCTCGGTATGAGCGCCATCTTTTTCGACCTTCGTGCCTTCATGACCCAAAGTAAGGCCCGCAATACCATCGACGACGAGATCCTCTCCGGTTAATGTACCAGTTTTATCGAAGCAAGCGACATCAACACGCCCGGCGAAGGGAATTCGGAAAGGCTCGGTGCAGAAAATAGCAAACTTGCTCAGAGCAGCAAGACTTGTATTGACAGCAAGGCTGAGTTCCATGGGAAGCTCAGGGGGAACGACGCTGGTGACGATAAGGACGCAATCAAGAAGCAACTTCGACCTCTTGCGGTCTTTTGCGACACCTTCTTGCCATACATACCATGAAGCGGCGATGGCAAAAATAAGAAGGAACAGAATGAAAAGCAAAGCTTCCACATTGTTGGCCGAGACGCGCTCTGTCGAGTAGATCATAGTACGTACGAGGCTACCTTGACTGGTTTCAAAGCCAGTCTTCACCACGATACCGATGGCGCCATTGTCAGGGGGAGAAGGAACCTTCGACGTGCTCTTCTCTGATTCCTCCAAGTTAGAGTTCGGATGAGTGATCTGCAAAACCTTGGTACCACCATGCACAAAGGCATTCTTGTCCAGACCATCCGGTTCGATCAAATCGTCTCCAGGTCTAAGTTGGATAGACTCCTTCAGAAGTGGGGTACTCTCTCCCGAGAGCATGGCCTCGTTGACGATAACACTACCTTCGACCAGAAGAATATCACAAGCCACACCGCTATCTTCCTTGGTCCGACTCACTGACATCAGATCGCCGGGCAGAAGCTTGTCACTGGTGATCTCCTGCCATTTCCTCTCACGGTGCACCCACACATCGTAAGGTTTGATATTCATACCTCGAAACTCACTAAGAGTCCGTTGGCGCTGCCAAACTACGGTGCTCTCAAATGCAACAAGCATAAAGAGTGTGAACAGGGAGTAGTACCAATATTCATCCAACATCCACAATCCGACGCAGAAGATCTGGAAGACGAAGAAAGGCGCCACAGCATGCTCCTGGAAAAGCTCAATGAATCCCGGAACAGGAATATCAAACTTGTTGTCCCCATAGTGGTGCTGGATGCGCTCTACTTCGGCCTTGGACGCTAATCCCTGATTCTCTTGGAAAACCTTGATGGCGGGCTTGGGTTCGGCATCAAGAACGTATGATAGGGGCCCAAAGCACCGGCGTTCCGGATAATACAGGAACCGACGCTTCTGGAACAGAAACGAGATTGTGATCTTTCCACCCATGGAATCGCGTATTAGAGGACATATTTCGGCCGATCCGGCGTTGGCCTCGGGGATCACCTTGATGAGCTGTGCAGAATCGATCGACTTGGTACTGGCTGCCGTGAACAATGTTTGGATGTTGATATTCCATTTCGTCATCAACCAAAGGAGCGATTGAGCCGTGATAATCGATGCAAGCCAGACGAAGGTCCATTCTTGGCCTTGAATATACGTATCATAGCGCTCAGGAGAGAGGTAAATGGACAAGAACGCAGGCCAGACGATTAAAAACGGCCAGACATAAGTGTGAAGCTGGACAGGAAGTGGGTTATGGAACGACGCATATTTGATCTGCGGATCATCTACGAGTTTTGCCCTATACGCTGGTCAGTCCTGTAATTGCACGCGACAAGAAACGTCACTAACATGGTGAGTACTCGAATGACCACGACCCGGGTCAAACGACGCGAGGCTAGAATATGAGACGGGAGATTCAGTAGACCATAGGAAAAAGAGAAGAAAGGCTGCCGATCTCCTCCAGGTTGTTTAGATTCGAAAGAAAAAGGCCGTCAAGAAACGCCGCAAAGAAGCCACCTCGACACTATAATTTTCCTTCCGGAGGTTTCGCCGCTTAACTCTCAAGGTCCGTCGTCGCGCGTCTTCGATTGGCTGGCGCCACGTGCCATGTACGGAACTGACATTTTCCAATCCGATGCAAGTAGCGAATCACCTTGAATTGATCCATTACAGCAACAGTTTCCATCCATGATACTCCGTACACTGGTTCTATTTCAAGATAATTTCAACCAAGTTGAAGTTTTGATTTCTTCTTCTTTCTTTATTTGCTTTCCATTTATTTTGGACTAAACTCTAGTAAATTCGTTTCATGATTTATAATTAATATTTTACATCTCATCAGACGATACATAAAATGATTTGTGCACGTTGACACCGTTCATAGGATGCTGCTTAGGATTCAGGTCCTCCTGGCTGCTGTTCCCACTGTGGGAAGTCTGGACTGTGGTGACAATCGCCTGCGAGTCCTCGGGCTCGATATCTGGTCTCCAGTACCTTGTCGCCGCTGCACGCTCATTTTTGGATTGCAGCGTTCCATTGCCGTTCATGCTCGACAGGGGGACGCTACCGGTCGTTCTTTTTAAACTATGGGTGGCACCATAGCTAGTTCCCCGAAACCAGCGGAAGAGTGGGCGAAGCGTGACGAGACTTCCTGCCGTTATACCAAGGCCAGCTTCAACATTTGACCAGATTGAAATATCGGCTGTTGCGTCTAAAGCCGTGTGTTAGCCAGGAGTGTCTCCCGGTTTAGCGCAGGGATGTCAGTGAGAACTCACAGAGGAATTCCTTGTCTTTATAGTGGTGAAGGTAAGGAATACGGACTATAACGGCAGCACTCGCACTAAGTCCCAGACAATCAGCAATAGAACCAAAGGCAAGAGTATGCACATATAGCAATTTTAGACTTACATGCAACCCAAGCTTAAAATACCAGCCAAAGCAGCCTTTGTCTTCGTGTTCATTTGCAGGTTCCACACCAGGGCGATGGGCAACAGACCCAGGATAAAGTCGCAGATCGTGGCGAAGACACTGTAAACGTAGGCGATCTCAATGAGGTGGTCGGTATTCATACAAGTTCCAGAAGCTCCCGGCCTCAGCCGCTGCCAGAAATACTGCACCGGGTGGCATTGCAATGTCAACATGAACCAAAATACAAGGCCCACAACAGTCGAGACGCCAATGACGACCCAGAGGAGTATCGTATGGAGTTTGGCGACTGTGAGGCGAAGAAGTGCCAGTGCGATAGAAATCTTGGCAATAACACATGTGAAGACATAGCTTGTCTGGCCGAGCCACCACCACTGTATCGAAGTGCGTAAGTCAAAGAATGCGCAGAATGTCAATCTGGGATCGTTTGGGGTCCACGCACAAACAACGCGGCTTCAACATGTTGAGGCTCAAGGTCTGCCATCTTTCGACCTATACCATAAACCGCCCCTGTTATACCGCATAATGCGAACAATATATTCAAGGCCTGCGATTGAATTAGCTCACTGCGATAATACCTACTACGGATACCGGTAGGACAACCACATACCATTGCGAACACCATGAAAATATCATCCCACCCGAAGGCTTTTACCAACTTCAGCCGGACAAAACATCGTAGACAGACGGAGATGAAGGAAACTCCCAGAAAAATGATGGTAACGACAAAGATTTGTTCGCTGCGGCCCTTGAATTCTACCATCGTGAAGCAAAAGAGCTTGATTAGATCAAGCAGGATGCATAATCTAGAAAGCCAAGGACATCCCCTAGGAGGAGCGGGAAAGAGAACCACAAAAATTAGATGTAATTCAAGATATCATCCTTCCAACTGCGGGATACCAAACATTATAGGGGGGGGGGGGGACGAGAATGGGACTTTGCGCTAAAAAAAATACGCTTGACAATTATACTTTTACAGTCGCAGTGGCAAGCATGCGACTCCAGGGAGTTAGTTGCATCGAAAGTGCCGACTGGAGCCAACTCCAGGTGCCACTTCGTTGGGTGTGTGGGGATAGTGCCATTGACATTTTCGTTTTATGTGGCTCGAAAAGCAGCACGCCGTAGAGTAGAACTTTAACGTGCCTCATAACCGGGCTTAACACGACGCTATTGGGAAGCGAGCCTACTAAGCAAGGGCATGTGCGGAACTACCAGGATGACCTCGGCTGGTCTATTGTCTACTAGTTCTTATTTTTTTTTTTTTTTGCCCTAAGGTGCAGGGGTCAAGATGCACGATGTACTACTACTATGTATGTACAAAACCGGTCCCTGTGCTGACCAGACTAAAAGTGAGAAGCAATACGAAATGGTCGACTAAGATTCTTCTGTCTTGGACAAGAATTATGGGCGTCGACCACGGTACTAGAGTGGATTTCTGCCTGTGACGGTCCATAGTTCCGGCGATGGAATAAGTGGAGATACAAAGGACACGGACGGGTTGTAATTACCTAACATCGAAGGTGAAGGGGTTCATCAGTGGAGGCAAACACGGACTTTGAGCGGAGCCATAGCCATCGTAATGTCCGCTCCGGCCCGACAATGTAACAAACAGTTCGCCAGGTATCTCAAGAACCTCGTTCTATCTTGATCTCCAAACCTCAATTATGAGCAGTATATAAAAGAGACGTTGGCATCCAATAATGTACATATGCGCTTTGCAAAATGTTCCTTGAAAATATGAACGGGACGTGCTTACAATAATCACATGGGTTACCATTGGCCATGAAGAAATCTAGGTTAACCACTGACAGAAATTACCTAAGGAGCCCATCTGCCAAGCGAGGCTAGTTAAGAAGAGCCACCAAATCCATTTCCCTTAAACTTCTTTTTGCTTTTCTTTTCTTTTTTACCAACAATAAATAAGCTATGCACATTCCAGACCGTGCTACAGGGTAGAGTGGGTGAACAATCCATGGTTCACGATCCTAGCCCGCTTGCTATAATTGTAATGGTATTTAATTAATATACCGCCCAACGAGTCATAGGTTTGGTCGAAGATGTCAGGAACATTTAACTTATGGAGTAGGGTAAGTTAAATAGTACCCCTCTAGGTTCTTACATTCTGAAGGATCATCATCACATGCGTAACCCCAGTCGTCTCTTCTTGGAGATCGAATACGAGAATGAAACTCTTTTGTGTGTGGTACCCTAGCATCAAGTGCTGATCGGAGATCCAGATGAGAAAACCTGACTCCGTACTCCGTAATTGATCCCATCTTATGATCGGCATGATAGAATTCACGACTCGCAGCAAGTTGGTCGAAGCGATGGCTACTAAGATGCTTCCATCATTTGGATCAGCACACCGAAAACCAGCTATAAACCGCTAACTACCCCTTTTTAGCCTCCAGCACGTCTATCACCATCGCTAAGTAGTCAGTGAGGATCACTAGTTTCTAGACTATTCTCTAAACCTTGTTTTTCTCTCTCGGATGTCCCGTCTGATTGTCCATGCGTATATAGAATTAACTCTCACTGACTCATTTAGAACCCTATATGCGCATACACTTGCATTTCTATACCCACAACGGCATGGCGACTCGAGCACATGTTGACTAATCCCTAAAAAGCGACACCGCGGCGATAGGTTACATTCAAAATAACGGGCATACTGGGAGTTCAACCAATTTGGGCCTTAGCGGCTTAGCCCTAAGTTAGTAGGGTCTGGATCCCACCCCACAGGAGTGACATTCGGGAATCCACAGTAATTTATCTGCTTTGCCGATGGGATATGTTTAGCACGTCCTTCGCCTGCGTCATTGCCTTATGCTGTGCATAATAAGACTAAAATAGGGCAGAAGCGTGACACTGCAAGCACATTGGCACCCTTTTATTCGCTCTACCGTTTTTTGCATACATATGTATATTACTATACACTAGCAGGTATTATGTACGGAGATATACATATCTACTACGTATAGTAATAAGTAGGGGGCCCACTAGATGCAAGCACAAGCTAGAATATTTCTCCTCCCCGAACCTCGAAGACATCCTATGGAGAAGCACGATCTAGATACTAGTGCCATGTCAAGCAAGATCACTATTCGTTATATTTGGCGAGAGGCCTCTTAGTGGCCCGTTTCGAAACCGCAGCGGTTTGTTTCATCAACCAAGGCACTACTTTCGTAAGGCGTGAAATGCCTATCAATTATGCTATTTTAGGAATTATTAGTGCAAATCCACTGCCGGAAGCGGCTTCTGTTTTCCCCCTTTTCCTTAGCTTCTCTCGTTCAACTGCCGCAGCGGGGAATGTTGGTTTAGGTACCTTTTTCCGTGATGCAATGGACCCCGTAAGGAGAGAGCAACAATTGCTTGTAGACGGTGCTATGTTGATCAAATCCTGGTGTGGCAATCTAAACCCGATACGTAGCTAATGCCATCATTTAGATTCAACTATCGCGAAAGTCTAACCTTACACCGAAGAGAAGAGCCGGCTTTCGGTATTCAAATCGGCAACAAGTCCGGAGAACATGCGCTTGAACTTTGAAGGGCTAGCTTATCTTCCTCTCGACATTGCACGTCGGGCTGGAAAATGTTTCAAGCTATCTCACTCTGACACAGACATCGTATCACAATCTTGCTTAACGTGCATAAGGCTAGAGTCCTTTCTGTAGACATTGTCAGTTAAAAACGTGCACGGGTGTCACGTCTGTGGGATATTTTTAGTCGGAAGCAGCATAGCAAATTGTTTATGTGAAACCGTCCTACAACTGGCATCACACCTAAACTCTTATCTCAGAGAGATAAGGATTTCTTATCCAACCTTCTTCCAGTCGGACCACATCTGCGCTACAAGACTCATTAAATCAGACTGTCGAGACAAATCATCTGTTGAAGCATTGCTGAGGTCATTGTATATTGCATATTTTGTTCGGTATGTTGGTCCACACTACCTTTTGCGGCCAGTGCTCGCCAAGCAAGGCCTGTCAGTGTCAGCACCTCCAAGAACGGGGCCTGTTCATATCTACTGGATCCTCTTTTGAAGACCCACAATGTTGCACCATTATCAACTTTTGTCCCTCATCTAAACGCTCAACTTCGATCAATGACTGCCACCATTCTGTTGAACGACTAATAGATACATAATGAAACCCGTTATTCCCGCGTCCACTACGGTGTCCCACAAGGGCGGATGTCGGCCATGCTCCAAAAACAAATTGGTATGCAGGGACTAGACACGAGATCGATCTATTTCAATGTGTCAAGCTACCCCGCCGATGATGCAGAAGGTAGGCAGTGAGATGTGGTAGGATTCTGATCTTGTGGTTACCGAAGTTTCCATTTGCTAGTTACGAATGGTCATTGCTCACAGATAACTCCAGTATCCGGGTACTCCTTGCAAGTTTAAAGTGTGGCAGCCACCACATATCTTTGTACGTTATACGGGAATACAGCGTCTATTCTAGGACTTAGGCATGGAATCATCGCAAGACACAAGCCGTCTGTCTAGATCCGCTAAGTCACAATGGTGACCAAGAAACTAGAAGGAAAGCCAGCACAGCAACATAATATGTATGATTGTCTAATAACTTTAAATACTGTGATGAGCCCTTTTATAAAGCAACTGTGTCCTGAATAGAGGTCCTGCTCACTTCTGAAATCAGGTATGTATAGTCACCTATATACATGTGGTAGAGCATCATGCGATGAAATATTATGCACTAGAAATAGGTTATGGATGAACGGAAAAGATACCAGTGGCCATCTTTAGATTTACCACTTGGCATCGGGCTGCTCCTGGAACTTCTGAAGAATGGAAACGATGTTCTCCAGAGCCTTCACCTCGCGGGTCAACTGCTCCTGGATCTTCGCCTCGGTCTCGGCGGAGATATCAGCGGTACTGGAGGCCAGGGACTTGTAGAAGGTCTTGTTGTCAGGAGCAGCACCCATGGCCAGGTTGAAGACCGGCTTTGTAGCCCAACCGTGGTGCTTGCTGAGGGTTTCTTTGTAGGCTCCGCGGAAGGAGTCGGCGAGCTTCTCGGAAGTGTTGTCGACGTGGCGGCGGAGGGATTGAGTAGTGAAGTCAAGACCCCTATTTAAAGTTGACGTGGTTAGTTAATTGAGCAAGTACAACCATGCCATATATTCGAAACATCTATAAGTGGAGACGTTCGACCCCTAATAACCACCGGAGAGTAACGATCAGTCCATACCTAACAAGCCAGAGCAGACCTTCAGACGCAGTGTGCTTCTTGGTCTTCAGCTCATTCACAGAGAGAGACTGAATAGTCTCAGACTCAGCAGGGGCAGCCAGCTGCCGATCTTTGAGTTTCTATGCCGAAGTTAGATTTTCATGCAGTTTGAACATAGGGTAAAAAGCCCCGAACCTTGACATTTCCAAGGAGGTCGTTCTTGACGGGAGTGAATGCTACGGAGCCGAGCACGTCTATATATTGTCAGGGCTGAACAAGTTATATGATCGATTCTGTTCAATTACGTACCGAACAAAGTAGTCAGGGATTCGGAGGCTTCGAGGAACTCGGTGGTAGAGATGGAGTTGTCTGCGCCAACGGGAACATCGGCAAAGGACCTCTTGAGGCCATCAAACCAGGTCTGGGAAGCCATTTTGAATTGTAATGTACGAGGATAGGGGGATGAGAGATAAGAGTAAAGAAACAGCTGAGTAGAATAGAGAGAAAGGAGGCAGTTGAGGGGCACACCAGCTGTTATGTTTAACTGTCACACCGCCGTTAGCGGGACAATGGCCACGCAAGCGGCCAGGCCAATCAGCGGGTCCAGACCCTGGCCCCCTGATTTACATCTGCAAACGAATCAAACAGCACAAACAAAGCAAAGCCGTGACCAGGGCCGAAGAACAACGACGTCATCGCCAGAAATCCACCTTTAGACCCGGGGCTGATCGATCGGTTCCTGATTGCACATCCCCTCTGTGGATCGTGATAGGTCCGGGGCTAATCAAACTAATTCTTCTAATGCTATATAAGACCTCTCTCCTTATATTCACGTCTGGTGGTTGTGGAAACGTGCAATGAGCACTCATTACCCCCTAGCTCAGCATGCTGGCGACACAATGGAGACCGACGTTCACACCGCATTTGATGACCACCACCATGGGCTGGAACCGGAGTTCTACACGGCTGAGAAGTTGGTAAGGGTATTATCATCGTATACACTGTCAGGGAAACTAATCACTGCTAAAGCGTTATGCTTCAGCCAACCACGTCCATATAACGAGCAGACGATTCTTCATCGGGCCAATCCCCAAAGGCTGGCTGCAAAACCACCGCAAGTCATGGTATAAAACGCGACTTAGATTCAAGAATTACTCCTCCAAAACTGTTACTTTTCGGGCGGAGACCGATGTTGCACAGTACACACAGGACCCGGGGCGAATTGAGCTATCTCCAGAACAGACAAAGCACGATGAGCCAGAGGATACCACAGAGGGTGAACAAGAAGAGGACTCCAGTGAGCAGGAGGCTAGTGGTAGTAGGGCCCTCAGGACCTTAAGTGAACCACTAGGGGAAACCATTGAATTACCCTCTTCCCATACCTCTGACCCACCAGGCCCCTCAATGTTGGTCCCAGAGAGGCATAACCGGACTCCAGCTAGTACAGGAACAGATGCGCAATCTTATATGACAGCAAGGGAGATTGCCCCCAGTCCAGATAGCATGGGGCAGACCTCGGGTGACCACAGCAGTGGGGAGACCATAAGACCACTGAGCAAACCAACATCAAGGACCATGAGTCAGTATGAGGCCAGTCAGTCAAGCCCCATGGCATCGCAAAGTGAACTTGGATCTACGACCCCGTTGCTAAGATCTAGTTCACTGCTCAAAGGTAAAGGACGAGTTACTAGAGCGCTCTCAACACCTGACCCCGAAACTCAGGAAGTTGAGAGTACCGAAGACCTGAGCGATGAACGGCTGCGTTTCCACAAGCGAGCCATTAAATACAACGATCATCTTCTACATAGACAGCAACGACTTCGATCTCGGATTTCGAGTGCACATAATATGGTCTCAGGAACTTTATCTCGTCGACACAAAGTAAAAGCAGGCGAGATTATCAAGGCTGAAAGGATGCTTGTTCGAATCGAGGAGACGGAACATGAACTTCCCGAAGACTATGGTGAAAACGACAGTTGGAGGATGGAAACTAGGGTTGCCGATAATTGGAGGGAATTCTTGGTGGTTTTTAGAGCGACGTCCGATGAGGATGCGCCCTTTACTCTCCAGATGTACAAGACGCGTGTTATCCCCGAGATACAGAGATACAACACTAAAGCGAAACCTTACCATGAGATCTCATTAGGTCGCAAAAAGGCAAAGTTGAATCTGTACTCTTCTCTGGATAAAACTATTGTGATCTGGAGTCCCTGCAAGCATGGCACAAAGATTTACATCATACGGCCTAAATCTACAGCGCACGCTGTTGAATGGTACACATCTCTAGGCTATGCGTTAGGAGGACGCCGGGCGTCTTCACTTTCGATTAACGTACCAGACCTTGGGGTATCACTTACATTTGAAAACCCTTTTGAGCAGTTGGAAGCGCGTCTCGAGGCGAATGAGAGAAGTGGGATACTTGCTCATTCTGCACCACCGAAAGCCGCCGCCGCAGAGATCATTATACGTGGTTGCTTTGAATTGTTGGATAAACATCCTGAATGGACCGATGTATTGCATAAGTGGTCTAAAACTGAAAGAATGGGCCTTGCTTGGAAGCGATACGACCGTTTGGAATGGGTCCACGGCATTAATGAGGAAAGAATGTACGGAACCCTGGCGATGCAAAGAACTCACGAGCTTGAGCTACGACCGCGACAACACTATCGTACACATGTGCATAATGACGACAAGAGAGACGAAGAGCCAGAGCCAGTGGAGGGCTTCCTGATTCGCCTTACATCGCAAAGAGGTGTGCATCAACGCATGAACAAAATGTTCTTCAAGCGGCTGTACTGTTTCACTCAAGACCATTACTTGTTTTTCTGCAGGCCCGCGAAGTCCCTGCCGCCGGCTCCCCCGAGACTTCATGCAGATGATTCGAATATCCCATCAACACAAGACATTCTGAATGAAATGCCACTTTCATATGACGTTGATCCGTTTCCACTACAGGATGGAGAGATAACTTGGCTCTCAAGTGGCAATAAGGAGCACATCAAGAGACATGACGAGGAAGCATTTGCACAGCTTCGCAGGAACCTCCACAATCTGACTAATGCTGATGGCTACATCGATATCTGCCAAGTGCAGGAAGTGCGTGATGTGCACCGTGACAGTTGCCCTGCCGACCGAAATATCCGGGAAGGACCAGATGTTGAGTTCAATCCTGAAGCAAGAGACACTCGGCGAGATGATGGTGCAACCCAGAAGTTCGATGACGATAGAACATTTGAGTTGCTTCTGAATAATGACCTTGTTGTCCGGTTCCAGGCGTACGACGAGGGGACTAAGAAGGAATGGATGAAGAGACTTGATGCCCTTGTGAAATACTGGAAAGCACGGTGTGCAGCTGATGCGGCGGAGCTCAAAATCTTGCGGCAGCGCAACCTAGAAATACTGGATATCGACGAAGAGATGGAGTCTATTGTCGGGCAATTCGCCAGAAAGTGGGAGGTTAGGAGGGCAGAAGCGTCACCTTTGTTACACAATATGTGTGCTTTGACCGGATGTCGCGCGATCAAGGTAGGCCACATATGCGCTTTTGGGGTAATCAATGGTGCTAATATTTCCCAGATGTCCGGCCAACTCTTTCGAAAACCCCGGCGGCACTCAACATTCAAGCGATGTAACGTTATTCTTACTGACGGGAAATTGTTGATTTTCCGAAACTCGTTGAGAAAGCGTAACGGTGTTGAGATCCCTCATGTCCATTCTAGCCTTGAAGCAACTATAGATCTAAGCGACTGCTACGTTTACTCGGGGCTGTTGACAGAGTCTGATCTGCTCTACACCAACCAAACTTTCGATAGCAATCGCCCAAGCCATCGCACCCTGCCCCGGGCTTATCTTTCTACGGACGCTTATACGAGCAGTGATGAAGACATGGCCATTACCTTCGTGGTTTGGCAGCCTCTGCGCAAGAACCTCTTTCGTGCACTTGAGCAAGGGGAGAAAGGCCAAAAAAAGCAGACGCTGAAGCAAGTTTCCAAGCTAGGTGTTCATGGGCGAACTGCGGTATTTAAAGCACGGAGCCGGGTAGACAAAGATCGCTGGGTCATGAGCATTGCATCCGAGATTGATCGGCTGCAAGAAAGCAAACCGGAAGATGTTCGCGTAATTGCAACAAACGGTTAGCCAATTCAAATACTTGGGTTCACTGGATGAACCACAGCTTGTAGTCCGTCATATTGGGCCTGTTGCTCAACTCGTTGCGTGCTTCCTACGCTCATTGCCTTATATAGGTTTCCTGCATCTTCTACGTATTCATACATGTGTCTTTATAATAATACAAAAGTTCTATGTACAGTACAGCATATACCCATAACGGCGAGGAGTAGAGGCCTCTTATGATAGGACAGGTCGCTCTAACTTGACCGCTTCCTTCGACACACGATCCCTTACCTCGTGACGATAATTATCCCCTAACTTCCGCTCATCATCACCCTCGACAAGCCCTTGCTCCCAGTCCGTCCATTTAAGCATCCTAAACCGCGGATACATCACAGCCATCACCCTTCCCGTGATCAGACTAATACTCACAGGCCCATAAGTATTACTATCAAGCGACCTCTTCGGATCCGCCGCATCACCCTCCAACCAAACATGATTGAACGGCACAATCTGCGAGGGCTTCATACAGGGATCGCGAGTTGTGATCCGATCTCCAGGAAGCCCAACCACACGTTTAATAGCAATATGGCCCGGATTAGCCGGCGACCTAGCAAAGAAAAAGTGACAGTCAATAACAACCCTCCCAATGAAAAAACAAACCCATAGAAATTCCGAGCAGAAAAAACATACCGAAACGTAACAACCATCCCCCTCTCCAACCTCCTCGTCCGCTCCCAGGGCCACCCGGCCCCGCCCCACGGCCACATATTCACAAGTACCATATCGCGCTTCGTATGCATCTGCTCGTAGTCCTCGTTGAGGTAGGGCGTCATTGACGGCCCGCTAACCCACATGACCCCCAGGACATGTTCGGAGAAGAAGAGCCCAATCGGGACAATGGGCGCTAATATGCGAAGAACACGGAAGCCTGTGCGGACTGGAACGGGGAGCGTCGCATAGCGACTTCGGAAGTGAGAGAAGAGGGAGAATGGCTTGCGAGGTGGTTCCGAGGCGGGCTGAGTGGGAGGTGGTGGTGCTGCTGCTGCTGCTGCTGCTGCGGTGGAGGATGCAGGTTGGGTGGGCGACTGTGATGATCCGAATTGTGATCGAAATTTCGCGGCTTCTGGTGTGAGGACTTGGTATTTGGGGCCCGGGGGCTTTTGCGATGAGCCTAGGTTTGTCGGCATGAGGGCAGGTTCCTCTTTTCGTGGTGTCGCGTGTTGGGATTTATGGGGTCATGGACGGCGTAGTAAGGCGTTGTTGGTAGGATTTATTGGTAGGACAATTGCGCCTTTGTAGGTGTATTATAATTGGTGCAATGGCGGGTTATCGTGGAGTTGTGCTGCAGTTACGAGAGGGATATGGAATCAATTGTGCTATCGTTGCACGCGGTGATATCGGAGATGAGCTGCTGTTTGCAGTGTTGGCAATATATCTACGCCACTTTATCTGATGCTTCCTGGTGTATATTCAAAATCAGATAGATTAGATTTTTGCAAGCGAGGCGAGATCAGCTATGCTGTGCATCCTCTTGGTTCCATTCACCTAGTAGTAATTGGTTATTTTAGATACTTTTGATCATACATGATTCACCAGGTAAGACTTACAATTCATAGTGATCTCTTAGTAGTACTTCTAGGATGTTTACTGCTACATTAATCTATTTAGATTAAAAATTTCACCAATCACAGCATGTTAGCTCAGGGGAAGAGCGCCGGGCTCATAACCCGGAGGTACGATTATCCTTTCACCAGCCAATTACAATCCGATTCCTAACAGCAAAATAGGTCCCTGGATCGAAACCAGGACATGCTATATGCAACCGAATCTTTTTTTTTTCGGTTCTTCCCCCCAAATATATATCCCTTAACAGCTTTTTGAGTTCCGCGAGTTGTTTTTGCAGGTTGTTGTCCATAACAAACACTCGTCTAGTTCAAGCAACATAAACTGTGTCGGCAACAGCAACAGACGGGGAAGACATCCTTCTTGCTATGCTTTTCATGTCTTTATTATGATTGTATACAGGTAGTACTTCAGGCTCTAAAGCCTTTCGCTCAACAATCTGGATCTTGTGTTTTTAATTATGAATTGGGCTATATATGCAAAGCATATTATTTTTTTTATGCTATATGTGTACCACAGTACAAGCACGACAGCACTATTCTTAGGCCAGGAAAGAGACATAAATTGACTGGAAAATCACGCTTTTCAACCACCATCCTGAATTGAAAGCAGCTATTAGTATATCTTCAACTTTACTGTGCGGGCTATAATATAAGGACTGCAACATGCAATTGCATATGAAGGTATATACTATTTTAATGAAACTGGCTTCGTAATAGGCTTGATTGCTATCCAAATGGCGACTTCTTTCAAACTGACAATCTAATAGAAGTTTTCCCAATGGTCCCTCTGTCAAGGAAATATCTACTATTCAGGGTAGAAGACCTGTCAACTAGATAAGAGTACGTAGGCCGAAAGCTAAGCAGTAGATATCAGGCAGACAGAAGACTGATTCTTGCCTTCCTCTTCCATTAACATTAGGCTAACTTTATATCCAGAAGAAGCCCCTTATTCTCCTAACAAGATAAGACTGACAAGGAGCTACTATACGCTATTGAAAAGTCAACGGATATGTGATCCGTCGTCGCCGTTCGGCCTCCAACCAGTATATGCACAACGGGCAGGGTATACGATACAGTCACCATGCAGAATCATCATCGGATCTGTGACACCCTCCCTCCGGCTCCATTTGGGCCTATGGCTTATGATGTAAAACGTTTAGTAGAAGTATCTATTGGTCGTAGTAGAAGACCTATTCTCATCAAGGTTCTATGGTTAAGTATGATAACAACATGATAATTAATTAACTATGTACGAACGGCTGGTAGTTCTGGACTGTAGGGATGCCGGCAAGCACTCAGTACAAAAGCCCTTGGAGGTTTGAGAATTCGTGTAAGGCTCTTCTGGTCTGCAGTCCTATTGACGACGGTAATATATATCTACTATTTTTCCCCTTTTGGGGGCCCCGGTTTCTTACCTATGCGATGGTTCCTGTGTGATTCGAGCTAAGCTTAGTGAGCTGGGACGGTTCAGGAGAATGACAGGGTGTCCGGTGGGCGATCGAACATTGAGTCACTGACAATTGACGGGGTCAAAAGGGGCTAATGTACTCGACTCCCTGTGGATACTAATCGAGGAAGCAGACTCTCTTGTGGATTGGGTCTGGTCGAAGGCGCTTGTGGGGTGATGAGATGTAGGGATGTCTGGTTTACTTTGACAGTGCCGTTAGATGGATTATGTCCGAAGGGGGGTATCATTCTTGGGTCCTCGGAAATATATATCCTCTGTTGCAGGACGTAAAGCACCTAGTACGGGAGCCGAGAACAACAGAGCCTTAACAATGGCCTACTATGTGCGGACGCTGCAACCTGTTAGGTACCGTGTAATATATTATATATATGTAAACCAGGGAAGCACCCACGGATGAGAAGGCAATCCCCCCAGCTTTGGCTTACCGCTTAAATTAGATAATGAATAATAGATAATGAATACTATAAAACCAGCTACTTGAAGAGATACATCACATCTCATACACGCCATATTTAAAAAAAAAAAAAAAAAAAAAAAA